CACCCACAGGCATGGCAAATTTTATTTAGTTTATTACAGATTTGTTTCATTTGACTTCTCCTCCCGAGCGCTCCCAGTGGTCCTCCACTCCCTTTGTATAGCCGGGCCGCTCCCTGCGAGAACTGGAGGCTGTGCCAAAATACTTCCGTTTCATACTCCGATTAATTCCACTGCCATGTTTGCTGGATGCCTGCAAGGCAGGCCCGACCTCTCAGCATGGAGAGGGCCAGAAACTCTGAAAATCGCATCCTTCGTTGTAGACGTACCCCTCTGCTGAGCCTGCCTGTATGCATCAGAGAGGATCCAGAGTTTATTTGCCCGTGCAAGCAAATATTCCAAGACATCTAAACAGCGTTGAATTTGCCACCAGGATCTCTCCAGAGATTCACCCTTCCTACTTGATCGATTAATTAGAGCCACTTCCCTGCCACCTTTCTTAAAGGAGCTCAGAGGGGCATGGGTGGTCCCCCTTCTCCCTTCTTTATCCCCATGACCATGGTCTCCCCAGTGAGGTCAGTAGAGTTTAGAAAAGGGATCTCCCCAGTTTCAGACTGGCACTGTAACCGCTGGACCACATTGTCCTTTCTGGGGCTCATTCTGTGAAAACGGACCACCTTTCGGGCCATGCTCTCACTTGCGGAGGTCAGTAGAGTTTAGAAAAGGGATCTCTCCAGTTTCAGACCGTGTGTGTGTGTGTGCGTGCGTGCGTGCGTGCGCTCCCCCTCTCTCCATTCTTCCTTGGCTTCCCAGAGGCGCCACGGATCTCACTGGTTCCTCCTCCTCCTCCCTCTCGTGGCAGGACCACGCCGGACAGAAAAGGGCCGTGAAGCATCACCTGGAGCAGGTGAAGCGAGAAAGGACCTACGTCATGCAGTCCAAGAGAGAGAGGTAAGAAACCGGGGTGGGGGGGTGGGAGAACAGACCTGGCTCAGGGATCCTTGGCAGCTGCTGCTCCTGAAGATGCCTGGGGATGATGGAGGCGGTAGTCCAAAAGATATGGGGAAAGGCAGCCGTAAAGCCCCGAAAGAGATTCGGAGCTGGAAGAGGTTGCTTGTTTTTTTTCATACATTCTGCTTCCTTTTCCAGTTTCACCCAGAAAGATGTGACCCAGCAGGCCTTCTGAGCATGTGCAAAGTGATTTCTCACCCCTGCCCTGGAATCAGGAACTATTCATCAGAGGAAACGTTTGCTTTTGAGACTTCAACTCTTCCAACGTCCTACAGCCAACAAGGCCAGGAGAGATAACTGCCAGAAATAAATAAATAACTCCCAGAATCCCCCAGCCACAACACTGACCAAGCTGGCTGAGGAATTCTGGGAGTTTTAGGCCAACCGTTGGCCACGCCATGCTCAAAAAACCCCCACAATTATTGGCCACTCCCAGCGCATGCAGAAATGTGCACACCCCAGCTGAATTACTTTCCATTCATTTGATTGAGAGCATGAGGTGCAGGGCCCAGTCACGCTGGGGGCTGGCAGTTCTGATGTCATTGGGTCGGTCAATCCACTCCAGGATTTAATCTGAACTTCCCAGGAGCAACCCAGGTCCTGGACCCTCTCTCCAAAATGGGCTCAGCACCTCCGAGGGGTGCTTTGAAGTTGACTAAAACCCAGAGTGGATTCACTGCCCCACTGGAATCTGAGCCATCAGCCCACCCCTGCTCCCTGAAATGTGGCTCTTGGAGCCCGATAATGGATCCCCCTCCGTCACCATCCCCCTTCACGGATTGCTGCCTTGTCATGGCGAAGGGGATTGAGTCATTCAGAGAAGCAATGGGCTGTGCCGTGCAGGGACACCCAAGACGGACAGGACATAGTGGAGAGTTCCGACTAAACACGATCCACCTGGAGTGGGAAATGGCAATGCCACTCCAGTATCTTTGCCAAGA